GAGTTCAAGTCGGGACAAAAGTGATACGTGTGTATCTTCTTCCTTGCTTCAGGAGCTTAGCGATCCTCATGGAAGCTTGAGGAGAGATGATTCTCATGGTATCTTGAGAATAGAGACGTGGATGAAGTCGTTGAAGGCGGCAACGTCTAAGAGTATAGGAAAAACTGCAGGAAACACTTTGGACTTCCAACGGTCGACCGCACGTAACGCCGCGGTCGACCACGAACATGCACAGCTCAGGAAAAGTCTCTGGACTTTTCACGATCGACCGTGATGTGTTCTGTGGTTGACCACCAAACCCTATATTCGATACCGAGTTTCTATCGTTCTGTCTGGTCGACCACAGGTGTCTCTGCAGTCAACCGCGAGTCGGGCTGAGCCAGACTTCCATTTTTCTATTCGCTTTAGGTTTTGTGTTTGATATGTATTAAAACACGACTTTTCTAGGGTTTTGAGGGGAGGGGGGAACCAGATTGGATTCAGAAACGAGATCAGTGAGATTGTTCTTTGATCTAGAGAGATTGTGAGAGAGGGATTTGTAATCTATTATTTCTCATAATATAGAGAATGTATTTTCCTTCGCCCAACTCAATTCTTTGTGTGTTTTTCTATTGTCTTCTTCACAACCCACTCTTGATAATTATGCAATCAAGGGTACTCATCCGGTGACTCGTACTAAGTTGGTATCAGAACGATTAGATCCTGTGAATGGGGGGATCCTGTGTATGGTACTTACTCGATTGCAATACAAGAAGCTAGGCGAGATCCTTATTTCTTTAAAAGGAGTTCAGAGATTAAGGAAGAAGAAGATGACTGAAGGGGATAGTTCACCGAGACTTGATGCATTGGAAAAGATTGCACATATTCATGCCACGGTGGAAGCTCAATTAAAGAAATCACATGCTAAGTACAAGGCAAAACATGATCAACATTGAGTTCCTTGTAATTTTGGTAAAGGTGATATGGTGTGGTTGAAGTTGAGTAAGGAGCGGCTAAAGGGAGAAAGGAAGAAGTTGAAACCTATACGATATGGTCCATTTCGGATTGTTGTTCAAATTGGTGACAACGCCTTCAAGCTGGATTTGCCACCTTATCTAGGCATGTATTTGGTGATCAACGCCAAGTATTTAAAGTTGTTTGAGCCTCCATTGTTGGATTATGAAGGTGATGACAAGATGATCTTACCGCATGTTGACGACCTGCGGTTTGATAGAGAAGAACCGCTCAAAGAAGATTGCATTTTGGAACGGAAAGTGACTACGACGAGACGCAGGACGAATGAGTAATTTTTGATCGGACATCAAGGTCAGGTTACTAGCAAAGCTAGGTGGTTCAATAGAGAAGGAGGGGCTCGCGAGTTCCCTCAGCTACTGTTCTAACTTGAACGGGACTTCAAGTTCCTAAAGGAGGGAGCCATGATACAGGTGTATCTTCTTCCTTGCTTCAGGAGCTTAGCGATCATCATAGAAGCTTGAGGATAGATGATTCTCATGGTATCTTGAGAATAGAAACGTGGATGAAGTCGTTGAAGGCGACAATATCTAAGAGTACAGGAAAAACTACAGGAAACACTTTAGACTTCCAGAGGTCAACCGCACGTGACGTCGCGGTCGACCGCGAACGTGCATAACTCAGGAAAAGTCTCTGGACTTTTCGCAGTTGACCGTGATGGGTTCTGCGGTCGACCGCCAAACCATGTATTCGATAATGAGTTTCTGTCGTTCTGTCCGGTTGACCGCACGTGTCTTTGCGGTCAACCGCGAGTCGGGCTAGGCCAGACTTCCAGTTTCTTGTTCACTTTAGGTTTTGGGTTTGATATTTATTAAAACACGACTTTTCTAGGGTTGGGGGGGACCGGATTGGATTCAGAAACGAGATCAGGGAGATTGTTCTTTGATCTAGAGAGATTGTGAGAGAGATATTTGTAATCTATTATTTCTCATAATCTAGAGAAGGTATTTTCCTTCGCCCAACTCAATTCTTTGTGTGTTTTTCTATTGTCTTCTTCACAACCCACTCCTGATAATTCTGCGATCAAGGGTGCTTGTTCAGCGACTCGTATCAAAAAATATAAGTTTTGATAGGTATGCAATGATAGCTGAGCTAACTGATGGATCTGAACTTGGATCATCAGCGGAGGTTTTTGAAATTGGTTAATATTTAACTGCATCTTTAGTTAAATATCAAAATAATAGTTTAGATATTTTGCAATGGTGAAAAATATATGAAACAATTTTATATCGTATACTTTCCATCATGGTTCGTGACTTACTAACAGTGTAGGTTTCCATGGTAGCTTCGGAATCCGCCTTTAGCACAGCAGGACGTTTGATCGATGACCACAAGATATCGTTAGATCCATATACTGTACAGGTGGTCATGTGCTTACAAGATTGGTGGAGGTACGAGAAGAGAACGCAACGCATCGACCGGATGGCTGATATTGAAGATAAATTTAAAGAGTTGGGACTAGCGGATAGATATAAAGAGTAAATAATATTCATCAAACTATAACTTTTATTTCTTAGCTGAAAATTTATATTAAATTATTTTGGAAAAAGTTACAAATGATAATGATATAGATGAGTAAGTGTCAACCTAGTTGGGATGTACTCATCTATTGTGATGCGACGAATTCCAAAATAAATTTATAATTGTAAATGATCTACTTATTATTAATAAAGAAGTTATTTTTATCATTTTAATTTGTATATTTTTTGTATTTATAATTTATGTAATTCTAAATGATTAATAAATAATAATATGAATTTTTATTAAATTTTTGTTTGATTTTTAGTTATGTATTATTAAAAATTTAAAGAAATAAAAAATGAAAAAATAATAAAAAACCTAAAAAAACCGAGCCAGCTCGGAGCCCGGCCCACTCAAGCCCAGCCCGGTGCCCCCCCGAGCCTGGGTCCGGGCCTCAGTTTTGCCCGGCCTGGGCCCAGTTTTTCAGGCCGGGCGGAGCTGGCTTGTTTGGACACCCCTAGCTTTGGTACACCAAAGATCATTTTTTATTGAAAAAAATTTATATCTATACTACATATAAAAGAGGATTATGGTGCTAAAACTTTTGATTGCTCCTTTTACCCCTCTTAAATTTGATAATTCTAACTTTACTTTAATTATTTTCTTTATTTGATTTATCTCAAAGTCTCTTCAATGAGTCTTAAAATAAATTAATTACAAATCATTATAATTATAAGATTTAATTAGTTTCTAAGGCTCTTAAACATTCTAAAACTTGTTTGATTAAATGCATATGTTATGGATCTAATCTCTTTAACTTTTCCTTTACTTAACCTCTTTTTTATTTCTACACTATAAATTACGGTCATCCTCTCTTTAATGTACGTGAGTTGTATATGTATGTGCATGAGCATACATTTGATGATATTTGTCAAATGGTTTGTATATTTAAATATTTTTTATTCTATGGAGTTGAAGTCTATGTCTCATGTTCAATTCGTAGCTCTTAATTTGTGTTTTGTCTCTTGAATTTTTAGAAAGGAGAAGGATAATAGATTATAATATTATTATTATTTAAAAGTCTTAATATTTAAGAGTATGTATAAATCTGATGTGTGAACCAAAGATTATTTTTAGCGTGTGTTTTTTTATACTGTGGATTAGGTAAGATTCTTATTGATTTTTAATACTTAGAAAGAATGTACAATCTTATTTTTAGAGTTTATGCAAAGCTATTTAAAGATTTTTCCTCCTTGCACAATGTTGTAAAGAGACTTTTGTGCTATTTATCATAAGCTATTCTTTTTCTTTTGAATATAGGTCATAAGTTGTGCTTTCTTGTTCATTAGATATATTCATGGTTTAATTCTTAATTAATTACTTCGTTCATATGTACTTTTAAATTCAGATGTGCTATTAACTTATCCAACGCATGTTTCTTTTCCTTCTAATTTTCTTATCTCTATTAAGTGTCATATATGTTCTTTCGTTAATAATTATGTTAAATCATAAAACTCTGGTTTTCTTCTTTTTGATTAACCACAAATAACTTCTTTGTTCAACTTTAGGCTACAAAGATTAACTAATGAAACATATTGGCTATCTATCTTCTACTCATTGAGTAAATTTGAATACACAAACCTATATCTGATATATTTAATTGAATTTCATAAAAAATTTAATTTCTTATATGATATCCAAATTAATTTGTCTCTTGATTGAGATTATTTAATTTGCATTAAAAAATGACTCATACATTTCCTATGAACTGAGCTATTCAAATAATATCTTCATATCGGTTGAGACTCCATCTTGCTATTTGCTTTTTTTTTAATTATGGATCTACTAACAACTTTTGCTATCCCAACAAGATACCAATCATTTAATATTAATTTTTTATTTAGTGGCCGTTGTAATTTTCGTGCATGATGCATTGAGAATCAATATACGACAGGTACATATTATATCATAATTACATATTTAAGAATCAATAGAATATATTATTTACTAATAACATACTATGGGGTAGTTCAGGAAGTTCATTACAATTTTAAAAGTTCAAGGATATTGTACAGTCTTGGAAGTTCATAGAAGTGTTTTGTTCAAACATCCCCGACAATGTAGGGAGATTTTGCAAGAAGAAAAATTTTCCAAAGACCCAAAATATGGGACCAACAGTGAAGACATGTGAGGTGTCCTCTGCCTATTGCATAATGAGTTGGCCATCATTAATGATGACTAGCTCATTATGCAATAGGAGGGGAACACCTTACCTGCCCCCCTGTTGGTCCCATATTTTGGGTACCTGTAGCAAAGGCCATCCATTGACCACTGAAAAAAAGTTTATGGTTTTTTTTAAAAGCTCCAAAATTCATGACAATTTTGTTAATTCTACCCAATTTTAATTAGAAAAATAAAAGTAAAAACCCATACAACTTACATGTCCAAGATTGCAAATTTACATATACTTTCATATCACGTGCACCGCGCGTGTCTCTAAATCAAAGGCATAGAGAAAGCAAGTGAGCAAAGCCCCAAAACCCTAGACCGCTGCTGCTCGCTGAAGACAAAGGGGAAGCAGCTAGGGTTTCTTTTCGAATGGAGAAGCCCACTTCAGTTTCTTTCTCCGGAGACCAAATCCCCCTCTCCGTTCTCGCCGCCGCCAGGATCGCCGGCATCGACCTGTCGACGATTCTGCGCACTGGCTCGATCCCCTCGTTCGGATTCCCTTCAGGGTCAGTACTAATCATTTTCCTCATCTCCATCCTATTGATTTTGATAGTGTTTGTTGTCCTGCTGAATTTAGTGTATTCAATTGATGAAAACAACATCAAAGTTGTAGAACTCAGTTTTGATTGGGCTTTGTATTAGTAATTACCCTTAAAGCCCTAAAATTTGATGGAAAAGCAAGCATTGTTTTTTCCTTAATAAATTTATTTAGTGTATTCAATTGATGAAAACAACAAGAAGTTTGTAGGCTAAGACCTAAAATTTCTGGAAAAGCAAACGTTTTTGTTCTCACAAAATTTAGTTATGTTTCAACAAAAAAATGTTCAATTAGGATAAAGAAGTTGAAATACAAGATTTTTTTTTACTTGCGCAAGCAACACTGAGGTCAGTTGCAAAATTAAACAATTTCCAAATTATACTGGTGTTATTTTGATGCTACATGCAACTTCTATTCTAGTAGCTGGAGTGCATGGAAGTTGTTTAGTTTGATAACTTGAAACTGCAATTTTGTGCACGACATATGCAAAATGGTTGTTTAATTCATTTGGTTATGAGGTAATATAACATTATAAAAGCAATTAAATTGATGCAGTAACATTTTTTCTTTGTTTGAAGTTGGTGCCACACATTATCTTTTATAGAAGATCTTTAGACTGACATTGAAGTAAGCCAATTCTATGAAAATTATATCTGAAAAACTCATAAAGTATGAAGATAATGGTATTGACATAGTATTAGTTGATAAGACAGACTAATAGATTCAAAGCTGCTAAGCATTTGACTGTTACATACTATCACTCCAGGTCAAAATTGCATGGGACCAACACTCTTCTACGATATCTGGGACATGTTTTAGCTAGTTCTAATTTGTATGGGCAGAATGCACTTGAATCAGGGAAGGTATAGACTAGTGCATATCAAAACATGTCAATTGAATTTCCCTTTATATATTCATCTTTAATGTTTTATGTACTGCTATTATTACTTACTACAGATTGATGAGTGGCTTGAGTGTGTCTTAATCTTCTCATCTGGCTCATATTTTGAGAGTGCTTGTGGGCTTGTTGATGCTCATCTTGCTCTTCGGACTTTCTTGGTTGGTTATAATTTTTCCATTGCTGATATAGCACTGTGGTCAGCTCTTGCAGGTAAACTTGGTGTTGCTTTTAGTTTGTTTATTTATTTTCATGTCTATATGCTGCTGTCACTTTTCGCTGAATATCTTAAATCTAAGTTTCTTATTGTTGCAGGCACCGGGCAAAGGTGGGAGAGCTTAAGAAAATCAAAGAAATTCCAACATCTTGTTCGCTGGTTCAATAGCATAACTGGGGAATACAATGTGGCTTTGAATGAAGTTACAGGAAAATATGTTGGGAAAAGAGGTTTAGGAAAATCTCCTGCCTCTAATACCAAAGGAAAAGATCAGGGGACAAATGAAGCCTCAAAGGGAAAGGATGGGCTTTCTGCAAATGGGGCTGTGACATCAAAAACTGCTGGATTTGAAGTAGATCTTCCTGGTGCAGAGTACGGGAAAGTTTGCCTGAGATTTGCTCCAGAACCTAGTGGATACCTCCATATAGGGCATTCAAAGGCTGCTTTACTGAATCAGTACTTTGTTCAGAGATATGGAGGACGGCTGATCATTCGCTTTGATGATACTAATCCTTCGAAAGAGAGCAATGAGTTTGTTGAGAATGTGTTGAAAGATGTTGAGACTTTGAACATAAAATATGATGTTGTTACCTATACATCAGATTACTTCCCACAATTGATGGAGATGGCTGAGAGATTAATACGCGAGGGGAAAGCGTATGTGGATGATACGCCTAGAGAGCAAATGCAGAAGGAGAGGATGGATGGTATTGAATCAAAATGCAGGAACAATAGTGTTGATGAGAATATGAAATTGTGGAAAGAGATGATTGCAGGGTCTGAAAGGGGCAAGCAGTGCTGTTTAAGAGGTAAATTGGATATGCAAGACCCTAACAAATCACTTCGAGATCCTGTTTATTACCGATCAAATCCAGATCCTCATCATAGGATTGGGGCAAAGTATAAGGTTTACCCAACCTATGACTTTGCTTGTCCTTTTGTTGATTCCACTGAAGGTGTAACTCATGCTCTTCGCTCAAGTGAGTATCACGACCGTAATGCACAGTACAACAGAATTCTTGATGATATGGGATTAAGAAGAGTGCACATCTATGAATTTAGCCGACTGAACATGGTGTATACGCTTCTCAGCAAGCGCAAACTTCTTTGGTTTGTGCAAAATGGGAAAGTTGATGGATGGAATGATCCTCGTTTCCCAACTGTGCAGGGAATAGTTCGCAGAGGTCTGAAGATTGAGGCATTAATACAGTTTATTCTTGAACAGGTAATATTGTCATATTTGTTCATTTACTTTGGTTGAAGTTCAACCCTCCTGGACATTGGGGATTTGCACAAGACCCCTTAAACTTTATAAAACCCCCTTTAAGTTGTCTGAAAGTAAAATGAGCATTTTAGACTATTTACTCTCCCCATTAATGCCGTTTATGAAAATTTTTAGTAGTTCATGGGTGAGAGTTAAAAGGGGTTTTCTATTATTTGTAAAGTTCAAGGGGTTTTGTGCAAAACAATCGAAAGTTCAGGGTTTTTTAGGAGATTTCTTACTTTCCAATGATTTATTAATGCATTTATTTGTGAATTTTACAGGGTGCTTCTAAAAATCTAAACCTTATGGAATGGGAGAAGCTATGGACGATCAACAAGAAAATAATTGATCCAATTTGCCCAAGACACACGGCAGTCAATGAAGAGCGTAGGGTGATGTTTTACCTTGCTGATGGTCCCGAAGAGCCATTTGTTCGTATTTTACCCCGGCATAAGAAATATGAGGGTGCTGGGAAAAAAGCTACAACATACACAAAGAAAATATGGATAGAGTATGCTGATGCATCATCTATCTCGGAGGGTGAGGAAGTAACACTGATGGACTGGGGAAATGCTGTCGTAAAGGAAATCAAGAAAGAGAGTGGTGAAATTAAGGAATTGGTTGGAGTTTTACATCTTGAGGGGTCTGTTAAAACAACAAAGTTGAAGCTTACCTGGCTACCTGAATCTAAGGAGCATGTTAAACTTATGTTGGTTGAGTTTGACTACTTGATAAAGAAGAAAAAGGTATGCCAAATATAAGCTTCTTAATTGCATTACATTCATATATTGCACTTCATTTATTTTCTCTTGTTCATGTTCTCATGCCTGTCTTTTTTGTCATCAGCTTGTTTTGATTTGTCAACTAGTTATCGAATTTCATCTTTTCTCTGGCACTCGACAGATCATTTTCTTGGCCTTCGGATTATTATTGTTATGATAAGTCATGTTCTTCCTCTGTGACCTTTGAATCTAACCATCTGCTATGCACAGGAAAAGAAGTCAATAGTAGTACAAATCCTAATCCATCTTTAACTTTACATCCTATTAATGTGGACCTAGCACTTATTATGAGTATGTTGATTATGTACAAAACAATTGAAGAATTTAACTTGCCAATCTTGGATAGTAAAATTTGATGCATTGGAAATTTGAAATAAGTATAAAGCATATGTATGTGTTATATGAAATTTAACAATTGAATGTTAGAAATTCTGAACCCTTTTTGTAGCTTTAGTTCAGAACTTTTTGTCCTCATTTCTAACATAACTATGGCAACTGCATCCACTAATGACAAGTTCATGGGAGACCTATTTCTATGTACCATAAAGTGAAAGGGTAGCTTATAAAAAACCACACAATTACTTTTATACATGAAGCATAAAACAGCGAGCAGTGTTCAAAGTCCCTAACTATCAGTGAGTTTTGCTGTAAGTCCGCAGCCATGCAATAGGTACCTTGTGACTAGGTTTATTTGGTTCATAAACCTCAGTTATTCTTGAAGAAGCCATCTCCAGCTCAAAAAGTGTTGTAAACTTATGACTGGGTATCATCTCAATTGTCTTAAGTTCCCAATTGTTTATTAAATTTTCAGCATTCTTTCAGGTTTTATACTTAAAACTTTATCAGTTTTCAGTTCTCCTTGACTATATCCTCCAATTAAAATTTAATGATTTTGCAGTGGACATTGTACAAGAAATATTTTCATGTACCCAAGGTTAAAAACATGCTTATTTGAAGCACAATTATAGAATCTTATATTTACCCCTAGTTTGTCCCATCTAATTTTAGACCTGTAAGCATATAATCACTGCCCAAAATGGACCGCAAACTATGCTTGATTTTAGTTTCTCTCTTGAAATAATAACCCCATTGGGTGTAATCATCTCATATACATGCTCTCTCTCTCTCTCTCTCTCTCTCTCTCTCTCTCTCTCTCTCTCTCAAAGGCTTAGGAATGGCTGAGTGAACAGTAGATGGTTGACAGAAATCCTGAATAGGTTTACTATTCTACTTAAAAATTAGAAATTTTTTCCTGAAGAAAACATGGAGCACCTAATGCACAAAAGTAGGTTTATTACCTGACTCATAACTACTTGCAGGAAAACAAATATGCTATCCATTAATCTCTTTCGTTGTTGTTAACCAAGGAATGTTGTGTTTAGTGATAAAGGTAGCACAGTAGCACTCATATATATACAAATAGAAATATGAGCTGGTAAATACAAATAGGTGAGATGTAACTAGGTGAGATGTAACTAGGTGAGATATGCAATATATCTTAAAACACACACTCAAACCCACAGTGAACTGAAAATCATGAGTTTTTATAAGAATAGGCAAAATTCCAAGATGTTTTCAGTCTCGGTGAAAGAGTCAAAGGGTGCCGACAAGATTGATAAGATGAAAATCAGGCAATATTGATAAAGAAAACCAAACAACTGTAAGATTAGTGACATAGGATAGAAATACAGGTTTCTATAGAAAAGAACTTGATGTCGCCGAGATCAACATTGGGAGATATGAACCCTTTTCTTTTACATCAACGAACAAATCAGAGTAGCGATGAGATCGAATGATCAGGAGAAGAGTCCTTGTACATTGATGAAGCAATTAGTTGCGATAGATATCGAGGCCATAAGTTGGAGGAGCTCGTTTCGAAGAAAATCTCAATAGCGTATGTTGATGTTGTGAAGAGACCTCACATTGAAGAAAGTGATGCGAATCAAACTGAATTATTGGGTGTGACTGTGACATCAATGTGTTTTTGAGAGGTTGTCGATATGAAGTCAAAACTGGAAGAGGCTGACAAGCTTGGCATGTTGATTGGGCCCATGGAGGACTAGTTGGGCATGATCAGTGGACACGCTTCTGGTTACATCATGGATGGCAAGGCAATCACATGTGTCTTTGTGGGGTTGTAAAATTACTTGAATGCGTAGAGAACAAAAGTATAAGATAGGCAGTTGGATCCAACAAAATGGGAACGACAGTCTTCAGACTATCGAAATCACAATGCCAGTCTTGTAATAGGTCAAATCACAGAAAAAATTGTAGTTGCCACAAGCTTGCGTTGATAACGTAGATTAGAAATACCATTAATGAAAGGGGATTTCTTCAATGTTTTTCTTCAAAGGGTAGGAAACCAGAGGCAAATTCCATGAAAAAATCCATCATTGCTTCTGGATTTCTATCATATGTTATCGATCTTCCAGCCATTGGGTTTTCTTTATCAATATTGTCGGATTGAATTGCTGTCTTACCAATCTCGTCACCATGTTTTGACTCTTACACGGAGACGTAGACATCTTGGAAGTTTTGGCCTTTTTTATCGAAACTCACAGTTCTCTGTGCACAGTAAGTTTGAGGGGAGATGTTAAAAATATATTATCTCTCACCTACTTACCTCTCACCTATTTGTATTTACTAACTCACTCCTACTAGTTTTCTACTTGTATGTGTAGGGTAATACCCTTATCAGTAAACACAACAATACCTTTCTGAAGCCTTGGTTAATATTTTGAGTGGGCGCGGATATTAAGAGTTCATAGAAAAATGTTTCTGAAAGATGATATAGCTTTGTCAGAGCTTAAATAGAATTTAGTAGAGCATTGAAAGCGGGTTTTGCATAAGTATCATATCGGGTTGGACATGGAAAAGCATGGGCGATGCATGATCTAAGGCTAGCTGTGGCCTATGTCCTTTGAAGGAAATCAGAAGTGGGCGCGGGATTTGCAGAGAAAGTGAGCTGGTGCTAGCTGATGCAAGCGACCCGATGGCCAGATGCATTCTGCAAAACGAGACAAGGTTTAAAGCAAGGGTAGAGAAATTAGAGGCAAAAGTTGAGGCCAATTTTCAAGTTATATCCACGTGCTGCTTTGATCAGTCTGACAGTACAGGCACTTAGAGCTCCAAATCGTACCCAAAATTCAAGTTACATTATGGCATTCTCTGGTTGGCTGGAAGGAACAGTAGTTACTTTCGCACAACTCTTTCTTTTCAAATAAATTATTTATTGTATCAGAGCTAGGTTCACAACTATAGAGAACCCCTCCCTTAGTGTTAAACCTTGGACCACCAAGGGGATTTTGTGTGATTCTGTGTGACTTCCCCCTTGGCGACCCGACAAACTTAAATATGATTGGTTCCCTCTATTGATCCTTATCATCTCTAGTTATCGTCGTCTTCATCGGTCAGAATTTCAGCCCCCTATTCGTGTTTGTTGTTCCTCACAAAGATCTTGCCTTCATTGACACAACTCTCCGCTGACCTTGCCACTTTTGCGATCGTAAATCTATATCTAGCTCCCTTTAAGGCTCCCATAGATCTCATTGTCATCATCCACAGCTTGACTGGCGAGTCCATCTAGTTCGTCCAGATCACCACTGTACACCTCGCCAAGCAAGGGTCTCATCGTCTTTTGTAAACATCCTCACCATGATGACACGATGCCATAATCACAACCCTTTATCTTTGAGGTTTCACTCACAGCTTTCCTTGCTCTGAAAGATGTCGATCCCAAATGTTCTTGTCACACTATCGTATAATTTTTATCTGACATGCGTTCAGCACCTCTGATACCATGCTCGCCAAGGTTTGGAAAAGATAATATTATGTTTGTTTCTATTTGTATCACATTAAACGTACAAGTAGAAAACAAGTGGTGCGAGTTGATAAATACAAATAGATGAAGGGGTAATTGTTTAATATTTGTTTCTATTTGTATCACCCTATAGATACAAGTAGAAAACAAGTGGTGTGAGTTGTTGAATACAAATGTGTTGGTGAATACAAATAGATAAAAGGGGTAATTGTTTATATTTGTATCACCCCATATGTGCAAGTGGAAAACAGGTGGTGTGAGTCGGTAAATACAAATAGATAAAGAGGTAAGCAGGTGAGAGGTAAGAAGGTGGGAGCTGTAATACATTTTAACAGCTGTTACAGCTAACTATAGGTTATTTCAATTCCACGGTTTTCTTATTTTCTCCTGCGTACTCTGTACTTTTCACTTTCAAGTGACACCTCTGTTGATAAAACTGCAGCTCGAAGAGGGAGAAGAATTCATTGACAATCTTAATCCTTGCACGAAGAAGGAGACAGCAGCTCTGGGAGATTCGAACATGAGGAATCTGAAGCAGGGAGAGATACTTCAGCTCGAGAGAAAAGGCTACTTCAGATGCGATGTTCCCTTCATTGGGCCCTCGAAGCCTATTGTTCTCTTCGCGATCCCTGATGGTAGACAGCAGGCATCATTGAACTGATGGGCAAGTTGGTCATTAGTACCGCCTTTCATTGAAAATTTTGTTTCGATCTTACGAAAAGGATATATTCTCATGTTGAGAAGGGTTTTCTTGATGTAAATCATATGTTACTAGACTTTTTGCTACGATTGAATCTGAACTACTACCTATTTTTGCCAAAACTTTGGGGTTTTGGAGCATTGTTTCAGTCTGAAGTGGATTACCTTGCATTGACCCGATACTCCGCCTGCAGTGTCATTTTTAAGGCTTATTTACACTTCCGTACCCTAAAATTTCACCGACAGTTTCAAATTTCACCCCACAGTTTTTTTGCCCACTTAATACGACAAATTGGGCTTGCGATCTCTTTTGCGGATTAACTTTGGGACATCAAAATTCAAAATTGACGGAACTTTAGCGACATCGAAGTTCAAAATCGATGGATCCCTGGCATGCCTAAGTTATAATCGTAACTGTTTATAATTTTGTGGAGCATTTGATTTCATTTGTTTTAAGTGGTATTTTTTGGATCAGATAGTTATGACTACCATACGTGCTTCGGTATTTTTTTATTCTACTTTACAAATTCTCAATCTTAAAGGTTTCCATTTACTCTCACTCTCACTCTCTCTCTCTTTTATGTTTTTCTCAAACTCCAACCTGTTATTTTTAGCATTTTTTTTATTTTTTTATCCGCATGATCTCAACTTATTTATTGGAGGACAATTGGATAATATATTAGGTGTTTTTAAAGTAACATTTGCGATGAGTGACAAGTCGCCCAAAGGAGAAGCGCAATCGCAGCAATACATAAACCTCTCAAATATTATCAAAACTTTCATCCATAGAACATTGTTCAAATTCCAATCTCACTGCTCTCCGTAATTACACTTCGATTCACAACTACATCAAGCACTCAAAGAATCCAGACAGCCTCTCATGCCCACATGCCCACAGTATCACGCAGCCAGACGTTGGATATTTTGTTGGAGAAAAGTCAATTTTACCTTCATGAATAGTCTCATATGCAATAGTGTTATGAATACAATTAAAACGTGCGTAGCGGCTATACATTATGGGGAACGTTACGAAAATTTATGACGAACGTTACCGTATTAATTGTAGGAATTATAATGATTTTCTCAACCCTATATATACACCCCTTATTCACATTCGGAAAAATAGAGAACAATTCTCTCTTCTTCCTCTCCTCTCATCTGCATATTATTTTCGTTCATATGTTGATGTTATTTTTGGGCAACCGTTCTTCGTCTGAGCTGAAGCTCTGTTCTCTCGCCCAAGTACAGAGACCATTCACTTCCGAGGGTTTTTATCGCTAGGGGATGTTGGATCGTGGATTCCTAATCTATTTTGGTAACATGAGGTTATTAGGATTCCTAATCTATTTTGGTAATAGGTTATTAGGATTCCTAATTTGATTTGGCTTTTGGTTTAGATTTCCTAGTATGTTTATGATTTTAGGAGTTCTATATATATTAAACAATTGGAAGAAAGAATTTGGAGAAGAAAAATTGGGGATATTTGAAGCACAGAAAAGAGGTAATTTCTGAGCTATTTGTTTAGGGTTTTGTTTGGAGAGATTAAGAGCTTGTTGGTGAGATTAGTTTGTTCCTTCGAGTGAGTTGTAATCTCAGTTTGTAACGTAGGCAACTTGCCGAACCACGTTAAAATTAGTGTTTTGTTTGTGCATTGATATTTAGTTCGTTTGGCTCTCTTGGATTGGCGTTTGGTTTGGTTCATCGACACAGCCTTTGGCACAACAATTTGGTATCAGAGCTCGGGCTACGCTTGGGCTATTTGATGGAGTAGATCGATTTGGGAAGCTCGTCTAGGGTTTCAGTTTGTGAGAAAGGTGTGATCTTTTCGGTAAAGCTTCTTTCTTTTCTCAGTTTTGGATCTATTCTTCGTTTGTTTCCGCATTGGTTGTTGGTGTGTTGAGGATTATGGCCGAGAAAGAGGGAGTTGAGGGTAGTTCTTCAGGTGTGAAGACTGTCCAAAGTTTGAGTATCCGCTCGATGAAGATTGACGTGGAGAAGTTCAATGGCACTAACAATTTTGGGCTTTGGCGATGCGAAGTCTTGGATGCGCTTAATGCGTAGAATTTGGAAGATACGTTGGAGTTGAACGGGAAACCGAACGACATTGATGAGAAGGTTTGGAAAAAGATGAATCGAACAGCGTGTGGTGTGATTAGGTCTTGTCTCACTCAAGATCTAAAATATGATGTGATGAATGAGACTTTTGCGAAGAAGATTTGGGAGGTCCTAGAGAGCAAGTACTCGACGAAGAGCGTTGAAAACCGTTTGCATTTGAAGATGAGGCTTTATCGCTTCCAATTGAAGAAGGGGATATCCATTAGTGATTACATAAACCACTACACAAAGCTTCTTGTAGATTTGGCGAATGTAGATGTCATTGTTAAAGATGAGGACAAGGCGTTGCTATTGTTGAGTTCCTTGCCCGACGAGGAATATGAGACGTTTATTCTTACTTTTATTAATGGGAAGTTATCTCTTTCATATAGTGAGGTCACCGCTGCATTAGTGAATTACCAACTCAGGAAGAAGGAAAATGAGGCTTCTATTGAGCCGGTAGCGGGGGCATTGGTTGCAAGGGAAAAGGGTCCAAACCGAGGTAGAATGTCCCATTCTAGAGGAGCACATCTTGGAATTCGTAGGAATCAGTGTGCTTTTTGTAAAGAAGATGGACATTAGAAAACTGAATGCCCAAAGTTGAATGATCAAGCCGGAAAGAATAAGGAGAAAGCTATTCAGGCTTCAGAGGTGGATATTATCAAGACTAGTGGCAGCAATTCAGATTCGGATTCTTCAGGCTACTCATTATTTACACTGCCGTCAGTTTGTGTTGTCTACTCTACAGAGTGGATGTTGGATTCGGGTGCTACATACCATATTTGCCCTAGGAGGGATTGGTTCTCCAGCTTTCAGGAGTTGGAAAGAGGGGATTTCGTGCTCATGTGGAATGATCACAAATGCTCTATTGGTGGTATCGGTACCGTTCGGATCAGGATGAGTGACGGGGTGATTCGGAAGTTGGTTGGAGTGAGGTTCGTTTCTCAGTTGAAGAAGAACATCATTTCACTTGGAGCTTTGGAGGCAGCAGGCTATAGGGTGACCTTGGCGGATGCACGCTTGAAGGTTACATTTGGGTTCATGATTGTGATGAAGGATGTCAGAAAGAGTAACTTATACTATTTGCTTGGGAGCACGGTGATTGATAGAGCTCTTACGACTTCATTGGATTTGTCTAGATTGTGACGATGTTTGGTGCTGGGGTATTTGATTGGTGATGTCGTGCATAGGTTATTGAGGAGTGCTTTGACCTGCAGATGGAAGTCCTTTGAGCATATTGGGATGAGCAAGATCGAGGTGGAGTTTGACACTCCTATCCATCGAGCGAGGGGTCTTTTAGGAGGTGTTCAGTTAGACATTTGGGGGCCTTCCAAGGAGGGAACTTATTCCACATACTCCAGATCATACTGCGTCATTTGGGATTCCAGCTGAGGTGACACAGGTTGGAGATCATTTGATTTCGGATGAAGAGGATGGATTGGTTTTGGATTCGGTTGCAACTGGTGGACATGATTTGGATGCGGCCATTGGTTCACCTGTGTTCAGTTAGACATTTGGGGGCCTTCCAAGGAGGCATCATTGGGAGGTAATCGTTTTGTAGTTTTCGTAGTTGGTGATTATTCTAGGCATTATTGGGTCGCGACCAGTTCCCGTTGGTGTAAAGTCCTAGAAGTCAACAACAATTAGAAGAAGTGTATTGGCAGAAAGATAACTCGTTGTTCTAGCTTTAGTAGGGGTCCTTTCTTACGTTTATGCCGAGCTCACGGTAATAGGAGACACTTCATTGGTGTGGAGACTTTGGGGCGACAAGATGAGATGACAGTTTCGATGGGTCGTTCCTTTCTAGAGGAGGATCGACGTTGGTTGTCGAGCATTGGTTCTGGAGCTTCGACATATTTGGGTCATCTTAGTCATAGGTCGCCGACTGCTGCATTAGGAGTTATTGGATCTGGTGGAGCTGCTTCAGATTTTGGTCGGCATCGGATATTTGGATACCCAGCATTTGGTCACATTGAGGATGTGAGATTTGATCCGATTGCGCGTTTGGGATTCGGAGGCTCATTTGATTATCGTTTGGGAGCTTCTGATTTTGTTCTGAGCAGGTATGTCACTTTTGACTCTCGGCAGGTGGAGAGTGTTGATCAGGTCATTTGGATATCGCAGCAGGTGGAGAGTGATGCTACCTATCAGTTACAGATCCGTTGGCGATATTAGGGAAGAGTTGTAGACTTTTCTATTTGTTTGAGGGCCTTTGGAGGCCGTTTGAGTGAACTACGTGAAGGCTTGATTCCTTGGGCAAGAGGATACGTAGGCAGTCAGTTTTGATGCAGCCGATTTGGTGAGTAGATACCGACATTTGGGTGAGTGTTCGTACTCCCGTTTGGGTCTCGACTTGTGTGGATGGAGTCCGTTGTCATGAGTCCGTTGCCGTGGCATACTGGATGCAACAAGTGAGGCAGTTGGTTTGGTCGGTGTCGGCTCAGTTTTGGAAAAACTTCACCGATGTGGAGAATTGTTGGATAGTGGATTCCTAATCTATTTTGGTAACATGAGGTTATTAGGATTCCTAATCTATTTTGGTAATATGAGGTTATTAGGATTCCTAATCTATTTTGGTAATAGGTTATTAGGATTCCTAATTTGATTTGGCTTTTGGTTTAGAATTCCTAGTATGTTTATGATTTTAGGAGTTCTATATATATGGAACAATTGGAAGAGAGAATTTGGAGAAGAAAATTTGGGGATATTTGGAGCACAGAAAAGAGGTAATTTCTGAGCTATTTGTTTAGGGTTTTGTTTGGAGAGATTAAGAGCTTGTTGGTGAGATTAGTTTGTTCCTTCGAGTGAGTTGTAATCTCAGTTTGTACTCTTTCTCTATTAGTAAAAACCCCATCTCCTTTCTTTCTCCGTGGACGTAGGCAACTTGTCGAATCATGTTAAAATTGATGTTTTGTTTGTGCATTGATATTTAGTTTGTTTGGCTCTCTTGGATTGGCGTTTGAATTGGTTCCTCGACACAGCCTTTGGCACAACAATTTGGTATCAGAGCTCGGGCTACGCTTGGGCTATTTGAAGGAGTAGATCGATTTGGAAAGCTCGTCTAGGGTTTCAGTTGGTGAGAAAGGTG